TACTGTCCTGAATAAAGGCCTTCTATCGGAACCGCTCTCTTGGCTTCTTCTGCCTACTAGTCGTGTTCGAAAAACTCGACTATAGCAGAAACCTAGACCTCGTAGTCGTTTTCTTCGTTTATCTGCACCGTTGATAATTTTAGCCTTTCATAGGAAGTACCCATGAAGTACCTATAAAACATACAGACGACCACAGTTCACGCTAACGCGGGAAACAAAAGCACCCCTTCGTATGACCGGTGAACTTGTGCTAATATTCAAGTTAATTAAGGTTCGAAATCACGAACTTGCTTCTGAGACCGAAAGCAAAAAAGTGTTCAAATCTGCTAACACCCCTTGTTGGATAGATATTTTTCCTAGTTAGCTTCCCTCGAAGTGCGACGACGATTACCTTGGTAATAAGATTTTCTAAAACTGAGTGGTGAAATGAAATTTTTATAGACAAGAAAGAAGACGTTCCGAGCACCGGATCAACTGGTTTATTAGCCTGAGGTTTGCGACTCTTACAGGAGTCAATCTTCAGATATGAGAAGTAGCAACCAAAAGGAGGGTAATTATGGTAGTCATAGGCAAATCGACTGTCAAATGTCGTCTGGTTGTCAAGGCGTAAGACACAGCAATTAAGCAGGATGGAGGGGGGCAATTATAGTGGTATGCGCTAATTAACTTTCAGAGAAGTCGTGGACCGCTCGGAGTCATGAAAAGAAAATAGTCTAGCGCCTTGTCCGACTACTATTACTACTACTCATTTCAGGAATATCTCGCCATCATCGATAGCGTTGCAATACGAAAGTCGTTTTAAGTGGATAAGGAGTTGTCTTCAAATGGTTTCTTTATCCCTTTTGAATATAATCAAGCTATCATGGCTGGTTCAAAAAGTGGTTATCTCTCGAAAGTACAATGCTAATGGGGGTAGCATTTGCCATCTTAGACTGAGCAGCTGGAGGCAACGTTAGGATGGCTTACGCATAGGATCAGCAATGTGGAATGCTCCAGTATAGTTTGCGAAAACTGCAAGATATTTAACGCAATGGGGCCGATTAACCACTACAGAAATGGTCCTATATATAGTTCTGTAACCCATTTTGGCATGCTCCAAACAGCTTTGCCTACATTTGGCACCAGAGATTGTCCCTATACATCATATCTACGTACATTGTGAAATGAAAATGCTCTTCTTAAAAACTTAAAATTTGGTTGTGCCAAACCATGACAGTATAGCAGGTCTACGGGGCAGAAACCATACAAAGTGCCGGCCAACTCATTCAAAGTCATTTCGGGGTGGAGTGGCGGAAAGCGTTCAGGAAATCCAGGGTACAGTACTGGCAAAGCTACTCCTGCCTCCCTTACCCATGCTCATGATTTCCGATCTACAAACGTGTAATAAAGCTCTTTTTGTCACTTATATTCATTTGCAATTAAGTAGTTGTGAGACCCCAATACCTGAGATAATTACAGCGAATTGCATGTAACTAAAATGAATCTTCCTAGTTATAGAACTGTGTAGAGCGCTTTGTGGGCTACGATGAAGCGGTTAACGCGACTGACTCACAATAGGTCTCCAAAATCCGGCCGGGAATTGGGAGCATGATGCTTTAGCGTGGCTACTATTCACCAAACTGGGTCGATGCCTTTCAGTGCATCCGTTTAAGTAATCACTAGGCTGCAATATCTGCCGAGTAATCAATAACGGCAGAAAAGGCAACACCGGAGTTTCAGCTGCTCCCGCACTAATACTTCATGCATAAATAAAATGTGTGGTAATCCTTAGTTAACTCAGACGCTGAGTTGCCTCTAAGCCTGTCTAGTCGAGGAGTATCCACTGCGGGGCAGAGCTGTACAGTGAACCTCGCGGATAATCCAATATAACCTGAATGACAGTTTTATTATGTTTATTTCTCGGCAGAAGGCTACATAGGCAGGGTGGCGAATTAACACGCTCGCCCCCCCCCCATTTTGCCTAATTGAATTGGGGTTTCGATGGCAACTATTCAAGGCTAAAGGGGTGCGAAGTCATACTAGGTACGCAAACCGTCAATCAAAGAGGTAGAATTTGGAATTATTACCTTCAGAACAACAGGAAGAATTAACTAACCGGATGTCAAAGGTCTGCTTCTTTATCCAATCATGGTCGGACGATGCGAGGGATGTCGCCGACCTGCCTCTATTTTACGTAAAACTATATAAGTCGTGGACCAGTAACTGAGGTAACGGTCAGCAGATCTCCGACGACCACTGCGCATACACAGGATGCAAGCACTACCCCAATACTCCAGATGTTATGAACCAAAGCCCGATCCCTGTGCCGACAAACCCGTATTCCTGCGCAGTGATCTCAATGAGAAATTGGAAACTTATTTCCTGGAGATGATTGTTTGCGCCTGTAAGTCCTATGACGACGACTATGACCTAGCTTGCGCTATAAAGCAAAGCCTGGACAAAAAGTTTGGCCCACAATGGCATGTGATTGTGGGAGAAACGTTTGGCAGGTGAGTTTCGTTGCTATCTTGTTCAGCACGCTCAGCGTCTATGTTTCTTTATGGATCCTTGCCGGAGAAATTGTACATTTGTATGTTTGAGTCCTACATTGCTAGTTCTATGAGCATTCTCGAATCGATAACTGCATTAAAGTGCCGACTGTTTGATAGTCCGAGTCAACAGTCTTTGGATGCAAACCTCCGATGTCTGCGGTAGAAGAATGTGTAAACTATGTGCTTGTAGAAGTCTGACATAGGCAAAACTAGGGCTGAACTGGGAAAACCGTCATAAGACATTGTATTCGTCAGATTTATTGTCCGTTTTCCTTACATAGTAGAGAAATAACATACGTTTCTGAAATTACAAGGCAAAATTTATAGATTTATTTGCTAAATATAGCAGAAAAGGTAGGAAGGAGTGCATTGGTGTCCAAGACTGCTCGTAAATCTGACTGAACATATTCTGAAAGAATGTGTTTCCACTACTGCGTTCAGTTAAGGCCTTTACATCTCCTTCCGCAAAGTGATTTTTTTATTTTTAGTATACGCGTTTTTTTCAGCTTAGTTCATTTTACTAAACGAAAATATAAACATGAGTTTTCGAACTTCTAATTTGTTCACATGGCTGCTGCACTTAAAAAATATTTATTTTCAATGTTATATTAAATACAAGAGAGTGCAAAAAATCTGCGTTAAGTCTACGAAATATTCAGAAATAATATTTTGAGAAAGGATTGAGGCTTCGCAATTGGTACGTTAGAATACGTTATTCAGCCTTTTGGGTATGATAAAGGACGCGAGCCACAGAGGTGGATGTAAATCAAAAAGAGCAGGCAGCACAAAGAAACGCCTCGGACATTTTTCAAAACTGTAGGTGTTTGAAGTTTACCTTTGGATACCTTTGGATGAAAAAAGATTGTTCTTCATGAGGGACGTATTGGAGATGGGATCGGTAGGGGAAGCAACCGAAGAATATTAACCAAGCAATATGCATATTATGAATCCGAACTGTTAG